ATACTTAAGCAAATTACAAAATCTGATACAAAAAAAGGAAACAAGATGGTTAATAGTTTTATTGCTAGATTGAAACATCCTATTGAACCAGGATGATTCTACTATTATGTAATATTTCTACCAGGTGTATCAAGTATTTCACACAGAATGATTTTAATAGACCATTTCGATCCAAAGAAAGATATTATCGATATTGTATACTATTTTTACAGCTTACGAGACATTGTAGCTCATCTTTTAGACTGTGAAGAGAAGCAAGCCCTCAAAAAAATAAAGGAAATATTCGATGCTGAGGAACTTAAAAAGCAATGAACAATAACAGAATTTTTTGTCGAAGAGAACCAACAAAAGATAACTGAGTTTGTTGAAACAATACCTAATACAACTAAATGAAAATTAACTAAAGAATTACATAGACAGGAAAATAATAAAAAACAAAAAACTCAATTGAAACTAGACAAATTTTGTTACTCTATTATATCACGTAAACATAAATTACAAGCTGACGAACAACCAGAATCAAGTAAATGAAAACATATATAAAGGTAAAAAAAATTCTTTCTCTCTTAATTTTAACAAGATGCAATACTAATTATTTGATAACAATCAGATCAAAATTATGGATTATGTTGAGATAACAAAACTTTATATGAAGATGCAAAGATCTTCTTCTCTAATAAACTTTCTAACAAAAAACAAGTTTGATATTGATAAATTCAATGATTTCATACTATTAACAGAAAAACGTAACCGATTGAAATCCTCTTTTCAGCTTTACAACCTATCAATCAAACCAATAATCGATTTGGAGATGATGATTATAACAGAATCTATCTACTATAATGATCTTACTTTTGTAAAAGAACATATATTCTATTAGTAAATTATGTATCATAGACACAATTAGCACTTCACAAATTTATCTGTTCAGTACAATGTACTGAACAGAATTTTATTTATATAATCATGCCTCAAGAAAAGCACAAACGCAAAAAAGTTAATTCATATTCTATAAAGAATTTTAAAAACAAAAGACTATTAATTTATTTAACAAATGAAATACTTCATATAATATTTTTATTGTTAATACCTTCAGATATTACAAAATCATCAAAGTTTACATTAAATGATCATAGATTTGTTGAATTTCGAAAACTGAAATTTGTGTGTAGATTATTTTGTCAGGTTTACAGATACTATTTCTCTCACTATGGAACAAAATATTATTTAATACAAAAGAAATACAATCAAGATCATGAACCACCAAAA